TTACCACAGCAAGACCAAAATTCTTTATTCAGCAATGCCACACAATAAATAGATAACGGGCCGAAACATCATCGCTTTCGAAGCGATATAGGCTTGTTACACGTGTGGTTTGGATATTTTATGCATTTCGCTCATGTAGCTCAGATATTAAAATTTGAATTTTCACCTATTTGGCTCAGATATTTTAGTTTAGTTTTTTATCATGTGYGGTTTGGATATTTTTACGTTATGCGTTCTGGCCCGCTAATCGTTATTTGTGTGAATAAAAGATTTCGCGCCTTTGTGATAAAGTTTGTTTGCTTTTGGTTCAACCTTTTTATTCGCCTGTGTAGCTCAATTTTATTGGCCAGTATCGCATAATTTTTTCAGTCAATTATGTGACATGCAAGTTGTATTTTCCTCTGCGGTTTGGATTTTTTTTTTCCATTTCGTTTCCTCGCCCATCGCCAAGCTGCTCCGAACGGGTTGTCCTATGATACTCTTCATTACTCTTTCCCTTTTCCAGGTTATTTTGGGTCGGCTTTTTTTCCTTCACACCGGATAATTTATAACGGCCGGTTTTTTACTCCTTCAGGCTGTTCTTCTCTGCATAAGAGCTAGTGTTGAGTTTTGAACCATAAGGTTGCACAAGAACGTTATGGCATGGTGTTGAACTGGGAAGGGAAAGAGCCCTGTGTTGCTGCCCCGAAAGTTTGGATGGACAATACACGAACTTTGAATTCGACCCCTCTCGTTGCTTTCCTTTATTGCGTCTTACAACTTTGTTACAAATAATCATGTGTTCACTATATACTTTGAGTTTTGGGGAGAAGTATCCGCGTCTTGTGAGTAGTTAATTAAGAGGGACGAACAGGCGGTCAGGAGAAAGAAGTCGGCTATCCCATAAGACGCCTAGAGTGATGGTGCAGAATTCAAATATACATGTATTTCAATAAACGGATAGGTCATTCCGACATGGAAATGGATTTGGTGAATACAAAGAGCATTGAATCATTCTCAACACGAAGGTCAGTTTCGCTGACGAGATTAATAAGAAGAAACACAAGTTATTCTAGCTATTCTCGGATCTTGGAATGACTTATCGCTGAATCTCCTATCGCTTTTCGCCTATTACCTATCGCATATGGCGATGGCAAAGTTTATTGAAATAGGTGCACAATTAATAGAGTGCAAACAATATAACCGTGAAACTTTAGTATTACTAAATAGCACAATTTCATGCAAATTCCATTTTTTTCTATTGTTTGATTAGCACTATTTTGTACTATTTAGTAATTAGTGTTTCACGGATATATTGTTTGCACTCTACCGTAATTTAATATTCGCTATTGGCTGCTCCCATCATCTCGGTGCGCAGTTTTCATATTGCCGCAGACTGGGAAATACTAACCCCTAAATAAACACAAATGTCAATAAAAACAAAATGGTTTTATTATTAAAAAATATATGTTTTCTTTTAACGAATTCTTTTTTAGCACATAAAAGTCTGTAATGTATTGCGATAATATTTAAATCATGTTTCTTCATTAGCTATTCAGAGCTATTTGATATCATTAATAAAATTACATTCATATAAATATATATTTTATATAATATATTGTTTTAGTGTTATATAGAATACATTTATGAAAAGTTAATCGGTTCAACGGAGGASGACGATAAAATTCCTTATTCATGAATTAATTAATGAAGTGACATCAGGGCCCAGTTGTGCGAAGCCTGGGTAGCGCTATCCAACGGATAAATCCTATTTAGTGAATAAATTTATTGGATAATAGCATCGACTTATCCACTGGATAAGGATTTATCCGCCGGATGGCGCTATCCAGGCTTCGTACAACCGGTCCCTGGAGTTAGCTTGTTCAAGATGGCACTTGATTTTAAAATTTAGCCCGAGTACCTTTCGTTCATAAGCTCATGTTTCTTCAATTTAAAGCAGGGGACTCATGTTTAAGGCACAGAAATAAATGCCATTTTGGAAAAATCTAGGCGCTGAAGCAGTCCCACGATGCAATGCAATGCCAACTCGACCCAGATTTTCCCTCAACTTTGCAATGGATAATAGTGGTTGCTATTTAATAAATAAGTTTCAAAAATAAAAATGATCTGTCGTGAAGATAAAATTTCAAATTGGCGGCAATTAAATCAAGCGCATTTTCACATTTCCATCAACATATTTTGTATTATTTTGATATACGTGTATTCTTTATATAAAGCTTTATTTAGTTTGTGCAATGGAATGCCTTCCCATTCTACCACTCTTTTCATTGCTACGCGCTGATTGAGAAAACAGTCGCGATAGTAATATCTGGCAATTTTGTAAACTGAAAGTTTTACCGAAATTTTTGTCTTTTTTATGTATATTTATATTTCTTTCTATTATCCTGCTATTATCCAGTTAGTCACTTGCTTCGCCGGTCAGTAGGCTAGTCACTCAAGCAATGGTTATATAAGGTTGCGCTACCTATTTCCAATTGTTTTGCGAAATCAAATGAACTTGGTTACCAATAACAATAATAATTATGATAATAAAGCGTAATAATGTTTGAACATAATGCCTCCATACATGTACTGTATTTTAGCTGCTTCACGCTAAAATGTTCGCTTTTTCCGCATGTTTTAGGTATGAAGACGAATACTCTATTAATATATGATAATCGTTAAATACTAAGAACGGATACTTATATTAATATTATATCATCAAGACCACCCACGTCTCATGTAGGTTTCAAATCAGAATTTTGGGCGGCATGGCTGTTAGAGCGCATACCGATGTTAAATGTAGGCACTGTTACTTTCTTTAGTCACGGCGTTCCTTCGTATTTATGCTAAGTGGCGAGAGAACAGACAGAACAAGTACGTACGTAAGTACACGTACTGTATTCTGTACTTTGACTCCAAGATGCGGTTTTATGGTTTAATATGTTTGCATTTCAAATCCATAGGTGGCTCAGGATCCATGACACACTTTTCCTTTGTGGTGCTAGAACGTATTATTGGCTTCGGTCTCCCATCTTCCCCCTCGATGGACACAATACTGGTCCCTATTTCTGCATTCATGCAGATATTTTGTATCAACCCAGGAGGAGAAGTTTCGGAGTCCATTTGGAACCCAAGATTGTCCTCAGCTTCGAAAAAATCTTGTGAATGGACACCGAATCCTGGTTCAGACGGTGACAGGGGTGGGATATCTTCTGTGAACGAGTGAATTAAATCTGGCTTATCAATACGTTGATTCTCATCGAACATGAAGGCATTTCTAAGACGGCTTGTATCATACCTTGGGGTGTCATCACTGGAAGAGCTTGACCGTCGATTATAAGAAGTACTTTGTGAAGGCAGGCTAGATTCCCTTCTTAATGCTTCGAGATGGCGCTTTTCAGGTGGATCAGTATCGTTACTCATGGGTGCCACAGAAGTCTTCGGTAACAAACTTAATGCTCTTCGATAGCTGTATTTTTTGGACGACTTGCTTTTCGCTTTAGCTGATTTTCTATCCTCATTATCTTCAGAAGTGGTCGAATCGTCTACATTAGCCTTAGAGCTATCAGGTACCTCGCATTCTAGTGCAGCTTCGGGAAGTAACATCTGCCCATTTCGGATTTTAGGCTTTCTAGTCAATGGGTACATATGTTTTGGCTTCACAAACTCTTTTGTTAGGCTTGGCCGCCGACTGCTCATTGAAGTCCCAGAAGAAGACTGCAGAACCCTAGACTCGACTTTCAAGTCTGTCGAATACATCGCACTGTTGTCGCTGTTTCTTCTGTACAGCTGTTTTGGTGTCAGCTTGGATTTCTGAAGTGCTGCCAATTTCATCTGTGGTGAATCCGACTTGTCGAAGTTGCGTTGCTGTTTAACAGAACTGGTCTCCGAGATTGTTACGGTAGAGCTATCTTTAGAAATCTTTCTTTCTTTTTCAAGGTCAGTCAAGCCTTCAAGGTTGGCAGAACCCAACGAGAAGAAGCTCTGGTCACTTTCATATCCGCTGCCACAAAATTCATTGTCGGTTACTGGGAACCCTGCACGGTAGAGGTATTCAACTTCTTCGTCGCCTTCATCTCCAGAGAGAATATCTGAGGAGTATGCCAGTTTAATGGCTTTTAACCCTCCAGTGCCAGCAAGATTGTCTAATTTAAACAGCAGTTCTTCCATCTGGAACTCAACTTCATCACATGCATACTCCTGTGGATACATAGTAAGTATGACTAATAATAAATATCTACTAATAAATGCAATGGTTAAAGAATCTGATGACACGAGCAATCCTATACAAATACAGCTTATTATTTTTCTAATAACTATTAATAGATTATCAAACGATGTAATGACAAAAATACTGACCACAGGTATAATTTGTTTGCCGTCAGTGTCATCTATATCATCTAAGTCATCCTCGTCTGACTCAATATATTCATCTTCAATGCTTTTGGCCTTGCATAAACCATTATATCTAAAGTAAACGAAAATGTTTTAACAGGCCATTCAATAGCAAAGCAAAGCAAAGTGAAATGATTAATGGGTAATGTTTAAAATTACGAAAATGTCGATTGGCCTATCATTGACCGTTGCCTGTTTGATACGGTGGTTTGTTTTGCAGGTAATAGTGCAGTTTTCGTATGACTGTGAAACGTTCACGGCACGACCACGGTCGTGACACAGCAAGGGATACGCCAGACAAATCACATTGCACGAGAATTTACTCTCCATCCAATTAAATACCCGGAACACGGCATAAACACGGCGCGGACACGGTCACGCCAAGATCACGGCACTTTTAGACATTGCGCGTGAAAAAAATCAGCCAAWTAAAATTCTAGAAAGTATCACGCTTACGGCACTGAGCTTTTCGCAGTCATACGAAAACTGCACTAACTGTTAAAAACAGCACGTCATATGGTTCTCAATACCATAACAAAGTAATTTAATTTCATTCCGTTTTGTCTGACTTAATAACCATGTGGAAACCATTACCCTAGCAAAAGAAAGAACGATTGCCTGCAGTATTGTATTTTTTTATGGGACCACCTGATACTTGAATCAGTTTACTTGCAACGTAGCGCGCGACAACGTCAAATGTGGACAACTGGGTTTTCATTACGAGTTAGTGACAATAAAGGAATACTTACAACTCTAGAAGATACTTAATGACTACGTGCGTTGAAAAGTGTCTTCTTTTTGAGGAATGATATGACACGTTGTACAGGGAGACACTCTGAAAAATATCAATTAAGTTTTGATTGATAGGAGGGCAAGTGGAAGAGAGAAATTAAAAAAATTGAAAATTTTAATTAAGCTATGGGGTTCACTATTGTTCTTCACTGACTAGCGTATGACTAGCCTCGTGTTCACGCGTAAACACAAAATCTGATAACCAACATACCAGTCCTCTTAGAACAACGAACAAGCCACCAATGTACAATGCCAGGTAGAGAATGCTGAAAACAGGCCTGTCCACATAGAACGTATCTACGAAATGACCTTGACCAACAAGTCTTAACAACCCACTGGTATAGATGAAGGAACTTCTGAATGTCTTGAAGTTTGAGTTTAAACGTCCAAAGATTAGATATCCGGTATGTGAGAACGTTAGCACGAATATGACGAAAATTACCTGGAAAGAAGTGAGCGTCACTTCGTTAGTTCAGATAAAAGGTATGTTCAAATGATTTGTATAAATCCTAACTATCTTGGCTTCAACTTTTTATGTGAAATAGACCGGCATATTAACTATATTGTATTTTTTAAAAAAGGTCGAGTCGCCATGTTGAAAAACGAAATAGTAGGCTTTCAGATCTTTTACGTTTCATGTGAAAGCTACACCCACCTCCCCCTCACAAATAAGGCTTATGTTCCTATGGAAAACATTGCAATTCGCCTAAACGTGAACTGAATTTAATCTTTGTCAAGTAGCCATTACTGTTTATTAATCATACTTCTTGCTTACCATTAGACCAATAAGTTGGGAAGATGTTGCCGATAAAAGATAGCAGAATCTTTGCACGAATTTGAACACTGTCAACAGATGAACGAACTTGGCAACCAGCATGAATATCAGAAGTGAGTACAATGCAATTAACAGTTCCTAGAAATCAAGGCAGATACGAGTTGTTAGAGAGATCAAGGATGGGTCTAGAAAAAAATATTACTTGGTCTTCGTGCAATAATGTACTCCTTGTCCAGGGATGGTTCAGCAATGGGAGGTATACATCATACCATCTGGCTACCTCCCTCCCCTATCTCATGATATATGTCTTTTGAGTTAGGCCATTAGCCCAATTATTTTTGGGGTTCGTATTTAATGGATAGTGATACCTCGTTCTCAAACAAAAGCGTAGGAAAGAATGTTTCATTCTTTTTGATGAATACCATACCTGGTTGCGATAAACAACTGTCCCAGCAGAGTAAACGTCATCATGAATTTTGGTCAACATTTCACGGAACAGATTATAAAGCGACACAGACCAGTAGATATAAACTATAACCGACAGACTCGATAGTAACAAGCAGCATATCTAAAAAAAAAAAAAAATTAATGACACCTTCAATTAGTGGGTCACTCTGAGTTTGCAGTCCTAAGCCTTCTATTTAGAGGCACTGCTTTATGATTCACGAGAAATAAAACGAAGCCTAAATCAGTGATTATCCATATCATCACTTGATTCAATTATGTCCCAACTGCAAATAACGGCTTGGGCATAAGCAGTGTTTGTAAGCCTTCAAATAACAGGGTATTTCGTTTYGTAAAGACAACATTGCACAGGACAGTCACTATATGAATCCTGGTGATTATGATCATCAAGTCACAGGCAGGCTATTACGTTATGTTTGTGCATAACCATCGTACTTACAGTCAGGTATTTCGCAATAGACTTGAAAAACTTTTTCTTCATCACCATCAACATAGAAAACTCGTGATACAGATATAAAAAATATGTCATAACGAAAAGGACCTGCAAGAGGATAAAGGTATGAATGTAAGGTATTTTTTTCGAAGAGGAGGTTTAATATCAATTTACCATTGTGACGAGGGTTCAATATTAATTATCCAGACTTCGACCAATTTACGACACCACACAGTTTGAGTTACCTTGCAGACTTTCAAGACAACATCATGAGTAGTGTCTTTAAGTGTGCCTCTAAACGTATGGACTTGGATGTTGATCTTGGGGACACCGGAGAGTTGACCAGTTATCTCCCATGTAACGGTACTGAGGATGGAATAAATTGTTGTCACACAACTAACTACATTTACAAAGAAATGATACAAAAGGAGATACACGTGTCTTGTATTGAAAGTATACCTGAAAACGTCCCGTGAAGGCGAAAAAATGACAAATTCAATGGATATGTGTTGTGTATGGCTAGACACCCAGCCCATACTTGTTAGCTGTCGTACTGTTTCCATCGCCTTTGACCTACAGATGTTTTAAACACAAGTTATCATAATTATTTCCTTAGCATTAAAGATTGTTTTGATATTGATTATTTGAGATTAAAAGCTAGAACGAACGAAACAACGAACGAACGAACGCACGAACATAATTACGTAATCGTGCATACGCCTATTAAGTAATGAAAAAAGCCCTTCATAGGACATGTTATCTAAAAGCACGCTGTCAAACAGTTCTTACTTTGTTCTGCTCAACTCGATACTCCTCCATCTGCCTTGATCAAACGCACCTGTCCACCAACACATTATAGAGGAATTTCCTTCAGGTAACTGACTAGTTGAGGTATTTGTAACACACATCTAAGAAATAATAATTAATAATAAAAATAACGCATACCTATAAATATCAAAAAGTTCTGCAATTTGGTTTAAGGGTATAAGAGAAGCAAGGTATTCCCTTGAAGATGTTCTAGCTATTCGCGCAGCGCCAAGTTTCGGAAGTTCATAAAGAGTTTGCGAAGGGGATGAAGTTATCAATAGAGCGTTTCCACGTGACGTCACGGCGGTACACCAGTATGGATGTACGAGAGTGAAAACGCTCAATACATCCACTCTGCAGGTATTACTTATGGATGATATGGATTACACTATCTTGTCTGTGGTAACATACCTGACGTTCTATTGCTTTGAACTGACGAATACGAATTCTTCCAACCAGCACACTCTGGCTGTTTTGAAAATAGATCTATGAAATTTTAAAGGCGATTCTGTTAGTTACATGCCATTTTGTAATTGGGAAGCTAAAGTTGGCAGTCGGAAATTTGATAGCACTTAGAAAAGATAACAACGAAAAAGGAACAAAAGGTGAAGGATAAGAGAGAGGTGAGAAATGAGACAAAACAAGAAAAAGACAAAAGAGAAGAAGACGACAGAGAAACAAAAGCACAAGAAAAACCAGCTGGACAGGAAAGAAGTACAAGGACGACCATGGAATACAAGATCCAAATTACTTTGTTAGGAATGGTGTTTTAATTTACTAGGCGTGTTGTCAAGGTCGATATCTAGTAACAAATAAAACTTACTTCAGGTGGTGTAGTGTTTAGTGAGCTCCACGCCATGGGTCTCCAGTACAACACTTCCACAATCCTGTCATGATTATCTTTCCACCACTGATCCACTGTACGGTGGGAGAGGTTGTTTCCTTCGTTCCCTCGCCTGGGAAAAAACACACAAGGCCACAAGGTCAGGGAAAAGGAGAGGGGAGGGCTGAGACAAGAGGAAGGAGTGAGGAGGGAAAGTTCCTTTTAGTTTCCTCTTTCCTTTCCCTTCCCCTTTCCTTAAGGATACAAACGCTTACTGTATCAGGCCAGTTTTGCAGAACCTTTGGTTAAGATAACTATTACTGAATGGCATTGCAATAACCAACTAATTACCCCAATATGGTTTTCTGCACGGTATTTTGGATGTCAAAAGCACAGCCACAGTAGAGGCCACCAACAAGTAGACAAACCAAAAGTAATAGTGCTATTGATAAGAGGAGTTCTCTGCAAGGAAGGAGAGAATAACATGTCACACACATTTTGGTACATTTTGGGAAGCATGGGTGGCGTAGCGGTGAGAGCGCTACGAGTCCCCACGAGCTCGGCGTTGAATGTGAGCTGAGCTGTTTGTTGGTTCTCTCCTGTGCTTCGAGGGTTTTCTGGGTTCTCCGGTTTTCCTCCCTCTGCAAAAACCAACTACTAAATTCTAATTCGATCCTAGGAGATGTTCAAGATAGGGCTAACCTCTATATCTCCTTTCGCACTCACTGATGCGAATAATTTAGTGTTGTTTTTTTAGTGTTGTTTTTACTAGAGATAAGTTGAGAATGAACTTGTCAATTGCTCCAGACGAAACCATACCATTAGATTCCATATAATATTTTCAATACGAATGTCATTCAGGGGATGATTGAAGGGGTTCAAAGTCCTGTCCCAGTGTGCATTTACTCCCAATATTTAGATGTCTGGAATGTGAAGCTTGCGGGATTTGATGAAATGCACAAAAAAGTTACAAGTAATATTCCTTTTCATTGTGATCTCCCTAAATGAGACGTTATGGCTCTTGGAGCAAACAATGAGAACATACATGGTTAAATTATAAAAGTAACAAGCTATATTCCAATTCGAACTTTAAGTTGCCTGTACCCTGACACTGATCAGCTCGGAGGATGCTGCAGGACCTTTCGGGATTTTTGAAATGTTGAGAGCTTTTAATTATTTCACTTTTAGCAGGGGCGGCGGAAGCGGGGGGGCCGGGGGGGCACTGGCCCCCCCCACTAGATTTTTTGGGGGGCCTGGCCCCCCCCAGAATATAATGCCTCACACACACACACACACACACAAAAAAAACGCATGAGATTTGGTTATGATTACCATTATTTATTATTTTGATATTACATAATTTTTTGATCTAAAAAATATACGATATATTTAGCGACGACTTGCATCATTTTTGTGTCTCTCAGCACAATTGCAAGTGGTTTAATGCGCGCAAAATATTGCTGATTGAAATATCACACATACACGTTTGTAATCAAGCTAAACAGGGAGGGGGGGGGGAGTCATTTCAAGGTACCGTGAAATATTGGAGTGCCCCCCCAAAATTTTTCAGCTTCCGCCGCCCCTGTTTAGTTTAACTTTCAATCTTTCATTTTTTTACCTGAAGTAACTGTTTATGGCTCGTTCACGGTCCTTTTTCTCATAAGTGTCTGATAAAGCGCTTTTCTCTAGTGGCTTCAGGAATTTGAGATATCGTTGGTGGCGTTTCATCATGAGTGCCTGCGAAAGAAACATTGTTAAATGACTAGCCTCCTAGTCATGGGTATTGGTTATTTCTAAAGAAGATGAGGAAAGCAGAGGGCGCATTTGTTTGCTTTTTCTTCTATTGACTATTGACATAACAGTCTGGATGGAGATGATTTGTGAATGACAGGACCGACTTGCGATCTATAGGTAAAATTCTAAGAAAAAAAATTTAAAAAATTAAAAAAGAGAGGCGAGGAGAGGTGAAGAGAGGAGGGAAAAGGAGATGGAGCAGAAAAAAGCAGATGGAGCAGAAAATAGAAGAGAAGAGAGTATAAGAGAGAATAAGAGATGAGAGGAGAAAGAAGGAGAAGAGATAAGAAGAGAAGAGAGGAGAAGAAAATAGAAGAGTAGAAAGGACAGGAGAGCAGAGGACTATACTCACTTCTTTTAAATTATYGTGCGTTCGATCAAAGGCAAGATTATTGTAGAAAGAAGGGAGCTCCTGGAAGCCTTCATCTTGATCTTCATCATTGACAACATCCTTTTTGTTTGCAGTTCGATAGATTGACAAGAGTGTGAACACGAGAAACGCCAACACCTAAGATAGAAGGTAACAAACCAAATCTCTTGTTTAATAGTCCAAACAAAACAATACGGAACAAAATGTTTTTTGGCAAAGTTGGAAAAGCGCACAAGGTTGGTGTGTGCACCGTGCTCCGTTCATTAATAAAGCACGATTTTCGTCCAATCATAGCACGTGTACTATCTAAACTATATAAAAATGTTAACAAAGAGAATGAAAATATTTTTTTAGTACCATGATTGGTTGAGATATGAAGAGCGATTCCACTAAAGATATGCATAGGGACTGAAGCCAACGATAGGACTTATCTCTGCCAAAACTGAAAAAAAAAAAAAAAAAAAAAAAAAAAAAAAAAAAAAAAAAAAAAAAAAAAAAGAACCAAGAGTTTAATACATTTCACTTTTACTAAAGACGTAAGCCTAAACAGAACGACATTATTATCAAACTGTTACCAAACAGTTGTTGCTGGTGAACAAAGAAATGAGACACAAGGGAATGCCAGATGACTGACCTGAGATGCAAAGCCAGTGGTTTTTGACGTAAACTCAGAAAAGAGCAGATAATACAGAGAAAATACTTGACAACTTATGATGTTAAAATAACTTTTATCTAGATATCGTGAATGACATTCAAATTTGACCAGCAATAGAAACGGAAAATAAAGGCGAGGCTGAACTCAACCATTGTTTCTTTGTCTTCTTCGTCCAAACTCCCGTCCTCTAAATTGTCTCGTTAATCTTACGCTTTGTTTATTTAGTTGTCAACATACCTCACTCCATACCACATGGTGAAGAATGCTCCAGACAAAATAGTTGCAAAACAACCAAACCATCCAAGGTAGACAAAGTAGAACGACAAATGGAAGCTTTTCCTCGCACCATATTTTACCTCCGATTGGGGAAACGATCCCGAGCTGTACGTAGAACATGACTGGTCTTTGTAGTTAGACTCAATATCAGCAACCTTGGGTTTAGTGGGCCAGGGTGCTTCTTTTGAAGCCCCCAGGTCTTCATTTGGTGGATCTGTAGTTGGTACAATGGTTGACTTAGGGGATTATTAACAGTCTCAAGATAACTCAAGAAAAATGTTCTGTCCTACAAATCATACATCCCAAACATTAAAAACATCCTTCCCAGCTCTCAGTATATGCATTTTTACTTTTGGCGTATTCCCCCACCCTCCCCATTGTAGAGATTATTTCTTTGAGGAATAAAACAAGACTGAAAGGAATGACACGTGACCTGAATTTGGAAAACATTAAGCCCGAGGTAAAGACGATTATTTGCTCAAAAAACGTCCATATTGAGCCACTTTTTCCACCCGAGGGCCTCAAGAAGCAATACCCCCCTCCCCAACCATATAAAATTGCGACGCGATTTTAAYACCTTTCTGGACGAAAGCATTACCTGAAATGGATGACATTTCGTCATCTAAGGAGTTTGTGGCAAAGAAAGAATCCAAAGAGCTCCGCTCACTCTGAAAACAAAAGAAACAACATCAGCACCCACCACAATCAGTGTTTCTTCATATAGTTAGTTTTTTGTTTTGTATTTAACTGAGTTCTACAATTCCAACAGATGTCGTTATTGAGGCAAATATCGAGGAAAACATTTGAGTACCAAGAATACAAAATGGCGGAAGAAGTACGAGGTATGAAATCGATGACTATGATGYGAGGTATGGTGTATGATGTATATTAGACAATTAAGGTGGTCATCACTGCCACTGGCAGAAACTGAACCCGGTGTTTCTTCACGTCCTCGGTGATTCTTTTACTTATTTCCGATAGTGTTTTGTTATCATGATAAAATGTGGACCGGAGACCATCATTTCAAGTAGTCATCCGAGAAACACATACCATGTAAGATGGTTGCCACCTCATCTTGTTTCCCAAACTTTTTAAGTATAGAAGTGTTTCAATGGTTTGGTCGAGGAGCGATAGGTTATCTTCATCAGGAGTAGCTGTAAGCAATAAAGAGCATTAAATAACCTTATATTAGATACACTCATATACTCACTATAAGCTACAGGTTAACTAAAGTTAGAACAACGAAGACTTGGCAGTTAAGAGTCGAAGCGAAAGTCGACAAATCATAGTTTGTGAAACTAAACTTCAAGGACTAGATTCTAAGAGCTCACTTGCATTATAGCATCGACATTTACTACCTCTAACAGAAACCCTTAGTAATCGCCACTTGTCTTCCTGTTCTCACGAGGAAATACAAATTTGAATAAGAAAAAAAATTCGGAAAAARGTGAAAAAGTAATAATAATATGATAATAATGTCTATCATGAGTACTGTTTCACACTTTACCACTTTATCTTTGAGATTAATGAAAAAAATCACGAAGATAACAATTTGTTAGAGAATGGGAAACGTAAATGGATTAATATAGAACCCCAAAATGTAAGTGTCTTACCAGAGTTCATCGGCAGGCAAGTAGTGTCTGTTATGGGGTCATCTGTTGGTGATGGGTGCACTCTGCGTTTCTGGCCTGAGGGCTGTGGATAGAATATATATAATACAACATTAGATAAAAGAGGATAGGAGGGAACAAGGGAACAAATAAAAACAAAAAGTCTATTATTACCTTAGCGTATCTGAACATAAAGATCCATATGAGGTTAACTGGCAAGACAATGAGACTGCAAACTATTCCTAACACCACAGTGTTCCAGGTGATGTCAAGGAAACCAAGTAACTGAAGAGGCTGATGAAGAATGTTAAAGTTGTTTATTGACAAGACCATGGTTAAAAAGATTAGCTACTATTTTACTTTGTAAATTCGTTAAGTTTTTCTAATGGCTATTGAAAAGTAAATGAAATATCTGACAATGACAAAGACCAAGAGAAAATGACGCATTTCGTTTGGAAGTTGATCCAATTTGATATAAACGAAATCAGTATAAGACAGAAGTATAAGTATAAATAGAAAGAACAAATATGATATTGATCGGAATGACTAGACACCTTCATGGAAATATTGTCCGTATATTCCAATTAGTGTCCCCCCATCCCTTTACTTCCGCATCAATCATCTAGAGTCATCAGGACCTGTGCATACAAATCGATGTATATATTTCGTACATTAGCAATGTTATACCTTAGTATTACTATCATCTGTCTTGTACCAGGCAGCACTCRCACACAATGTACTCATTATCAGTGACAGGCAGCACGTCAACCGCTGCAACACAACAAAACAGTACATGTTTTTATTTAGGATTAGTTTTTCATCGCACAGCAAATATAGACTTAACCATCATTTTACTCATTCAGACCACATGTCATTTGCTTTAGCATTACAGTGTGAACACACTTTTTTTTCGGTCCACGTGTCATTCCCCTGAGTATTATGCTATTTGGTCTCAGTATAGACGCTAACTGGGACCATTTCACAATGTTTCATTCCCACGGATGTTGAAAACATAATCAGATCTTGGCTCCCTTGCTCACTCCTGATTGGCTTAGGCTAGATCGCTTTGATTTTACTGTACATCGTGATTGGTTATCTGTAAAAGTGGTCCCCGTTCGTATCTCCGTACACGGACGGTAACCCTTGAGAAAATGCTCCTGAGAGTTYAAACAATTTTCATTTACCAAACCCGGTTCTAATGACTTGCCTGTGCGCGAGAGAAGCGACTTCTTGGAGGCTTGCCTGCGACGGATAACCATAGATGATAATCCACGAGATACTGAATACAACTGTGATAAAAATACTGAAACAGAGAATCGAGAATGAGTCAGATGGTCTAGTTATGGTATAGAGCTTTCTGGATGGTCTGAGCGGGTAGAGTGTRGAAGGTACCCACCTGTAGGCGGTTTTCCTTTAAACCAGAGTTGGCCATGAGTTCAACATCAATCTAAGTAAACAAATACATTGATTCAGAATTAAGTTGAGAATAGCTGAGACTAGTTATAATTCCACGACAAACATCGACGCTCGCAGTCAAACTGGATCGGCGCTCGCGGTCAAACTGGTCATACAATAGTTAGAGCAAACACTTATGGGTCTCACTAACATAAAAAATAGAAATGACATACCTTGCCATCTTCTTGATCAACAGCAAGCCATCGATAACAATCGAAATACCTGGAAGAATGATAAAAACGACGATATAGCTCAAATTCCATCCCGCATCTGTTTGTTTCTAAAGAAAGCACCACAATTCTCTGGTGCCCAGGCTACGATAACGATAACCGTGCTTCCCAGTCATAAGCGCGAAATCATATAATAAGTAGGTTTTGGTGGATGTCAATCAAGACGTTTCCATGACATTCTATAGGCCTCGAAAACTTTGTGTTCCCGACAATGTCATCTTCAAACATCTTCATTGAACGAAGGAATGTGGTTAACATCTCGAAACATCTGATTCAAGAAATAAAATCTGGAATTCTTTTTTAGAAATTCACTTTGAAAGAGTACGAGAATGGCTTTTACTATAAAGTCATGGAAACACTTTGATTGACGTCCACTAAACCTTATTTTTTAGCGACGGCTTATTGTACGATTTTGCGCGTGTGATTAGCAAGCACTGTAATTATTGAGAGAAAATAAAACTCAAAGATGACATAAATAATAATGGTGGTCATTTCCTAACCATTTTTCCTTTGTCGTCATATCCTTCACAATCACCCTGTTCAGATACCAACTTGGGTTGTCCCCTTGGTTATAATGCCATACATGGACTTTCCATAGTGGACTGAGATCGCAGGGAGACCTGCAGAAAGACAACGGCAACGATTCGAAAACGTTTTGTAAGAGAAAGCACGACAGCGATCTAAACCTAACGGGAATAAATTAGCCGTGTGTTAAAAAAGCTGATGGGCCTGTAAGACGAAACTGTAGCATTACGTGATACTGATTAGAGCAGTTTTCGTATGACTGTGAAAAACTCGGTGCCATAAAGGCAAGGAAACACGGTGCACCATTGCGCGCAACATTGCAGACAATGTCGCTGAAGGATGATATTTTCTACTGCAGCAAATTGCGTCGTGTGTCATGGCTCGCAACATCAATTGCATGCAACATTGCGCGCAATGTTACACYGTGTGTCCGTAGCTTAAGCGTACCCTGCCGTGACCGTGCCAGGATTTTGATTGGGGGATTTTTTCGCGCAAAGTGATTGGTCTGGCAGTTCCGTRACGTTGGCGTGTCCGTGTCCACGCCGTGTTCATGCCGCGCTACAGGTATTTGGTTGGATGGAGAGTAAATTCACGTGCAACGTGATTGGTCTGGCGTATACCTTACCGTGTCACGACCAGGGCGCTCATGAGCTCCCTGGTCACGACCGCGCTTGTGCTGTGATCTTTTTACAATAACAAAACTGCTCAAAACGTTCTCATGTAAAAGTGCGTATGGAACCTYGTAAAATCAAACAGTTGTTTAAACTTCATGGAAAGAATTGAAAGCAGAAACAAATTAAAATATATATAAGAAATATTTTATTAGCTTGCGCTGGGGATATATTCAGATGGTCACTACTCAACATGATTGCTAGCTCATCATTATATCATCAATATATATTATCTCCAGAGCAAGGGATTAGCCTGTTTCCAAGTAATATCTGGATACGTTAATAAAGAAAAAATTATTCACGAAAGCTAGACAAAGCAACAAGCAATTACAAGACAGTATATCATCTTAATTTTTAAAAAATTGCTTCGCGGGATAAATTATTTGAAATCTTACTTGATGAGAAAGGCATCCGTTGATCCCCGTTGGAATACAGGTTTCCCATTCCCAACCAGTTCTATGGCATCAGAAGTAGCGTTTTCACCATGCAGACGAATCATGATATCAGCAGTGGTACCGCACCCGAACCAATGTCCTGTTTCCACAATGATTTTGTATCTGTAAAGTTAGACAAGATTAACATTACTCAATGTATCGTACCAGGCTCTCTGGCGAAATTATGTCTATATCAAATTATGTATATTTTTTTTAGAGTTTCCTCGATAAAGAAAGAGAAAATATTCAACATAATGATACGAACTGTAACGAGAAACGTTTCTCTAAAATAAAAAGGTTAGTTTTTATTGAATAGGAAGAAATGACTTACTTATGTGGATTCCTGCATGGTGCATACGTCAAGTCTACCACTCCCTCTTTACGTCTGTCTTGTCTGTCAGCTCTCACACAAAATATCATTAAGAACATGTATAACAATGCGATGGAGACAACCAATGAAGTTGCAACTATATTATCTTCACTAAGGAAAGGAAAATAAAGACCATTAGTTATCGAGTAGAAGAATAAGTAAAAAAGGTGTAGAAAGTAAAGAGTGGATATGTTTACGGAATATATAATAGGTACGCTGTGTCCAGGTYATGTGACACTGGAGAGCTATTGAAAAGACCCCTTGCGGCACGTCGAAATGCAGCTCAATTAGGAGGACATAACGATAGGTTTCCAATTCTCAGGAAATTAAAATTATTTTGTTTCGTCCTCCAAATTGAGCTGTGTCCACTGAATATAACTGAGTTGCAGGAAAAGTACATAGTATGAGTATAAAGACACTGGACGTCTGTAACTAATGATCTAGGAATGGCAAGATGATCTATATAAAGACAAATGGAAGACAATTTGAGAGAAGTGGGAAACTGTCAAATATTCGATTCAATTGATAAATACATTGTAACATAAGAGCTAATGTACTTAGAGACAGGTTATCTTAAAATTATTACCTTATAAACTTTCTTAAGTCTATTTGTTTGAGTTGATTTGGAGCCAAGAAAGCTGCTGCACCAAATGRTGTTAAATGATTACATCTGCAGAAAAAAACAACAAAGTTTTAGATTGACTTTATTTCTTCCCGCAAACAGCAAACGTGACCACGTTTTCATCGTTTTCCTGTATTTTACTTTACCTTTTACAAACTTTCTCACCAAGCGCAAATACTCTTTTGTTTTTCTACTACTTGGACTTTTTTGCGATTGTTTTTAAGCTATTTAAAATAATTTTCAAATGGTCAGCTGACGTTTCACGTTTGCCGTGAACGTAAATCTTAAACTCTCTAATATAGAAAATACATTAAAATCAAAGGAACTACCCTGATTGCCTATCCCTTGACCTCCACCCTGCTCTTTCTCTTAATTTGTTTGTGGGGGAGGGGTAAATTGAAACAACCAAACAAACAAGGGGTAAGCACAATAATATGAATACGAATGATTAAGCAAAGTGCAGCTGTCGTGAATCCATTCAGAAGTCATTCTACCTACCTGCAGTTAACGGTGAACTGCGAAGTCTTTTCTGTTGCACTGCAGCCTTGAGTCGACCAGTTGCCACTCGGTTTGTCCCAGTAAAAACAACCGATCCATTTGCTACTGAAGGAATAGTTGACAGGCGAAACCTTCATGATCTAAAATCAATGAATAAGCACCAAGTTACCATCTTAAAAAGGTGAGCGAAAAAAGAGGAGTGAAAGTGAAAAGATGAAAGAAAAGATGTAAAACAGAAAAGTCCAGAACGTCGCGCATTCCCGGTAGTAAATTTCGTTCATATTTTAGCGGGGAAAAAGATTGGGAGAAATACACAGCAAAAAAGAAGTCTGGAATATAAGGTAATCCTAACTTCTGTTGCTGGTTTTCAATCATTCCCAAGGGAGTGAAATAACAAAAGACACGGCGGCCATGTTGGATGATACRACAAAATAATTCATTGACAATTCTTTTGTTAAATTCATCCAACAAGGCGACTATGACGTCGTGTGCAAACGAAGGATAACAAACCTTTTTTATCCTATTCTGAGCACTGTCTTCAACAATGATTCCAATACGCAATGTTCCTGAAGCTAAAATCGACAAAACGCGGCTTAATATTGATATAAATCATAAAATGAACCAAAAGAKGTTTTGATTAACTTAGAGTCCAGATCACCATGTTTTAAAGCAGTTTTCGATGTTCAGACGATTGGAAATTTAAATGAATCTTCGTTAACACTTATTGTTCCTTGAGGCACCCCGAAACTGAACAAAAATTTGTATCCCCAAAAATGCCGTTCCCAAAAATATTAAAACCTTCTCAGATAACCATACAACGCTAGACACACGAAACAAGAATTTCTGAGCTACTCACAATTAATCAGCTGTTTTGACGTGAAAAAGAACTCAACAGATCCTCCTGCGGTACTTTTAAAAATCTGTGAATTCTGTAGACTTTCTTCCCCTTCGCTGGTGCTAAAAATACAATAAAACACACACGCTTTATTTGGCTTGCATCAAACATTTTAATCCTCAGGAAAAATAGATGCTTGAATTATTATTATTATTATTATTATTATTATTTTTTTTTTTGCCATCTTGCGTTGCTGCAAAAAATTAATATGTAAAGAATCAACAGCGCTGCAGCTAAAGAAAATCTTGCAGAATCAAGGACAGATTCCAAGCAATGATAAGTAACATCATTAAACTGAAGACCAGGAAGGGTTTTCTTATTAGCCATGACTAAGCGACTTGATTGTATACATTACAGGCAAATAAAGTGAAAGAAAAGGTAAAACGCTTGACATGCATAAATATAGTCCAAAACTCAGGGACGGCGCTAGAGTTATTAATCTGGGGCCAGAACGTAGGGTTAAATAAGTGGACCAAACATTCTTGCTTTTTGAATGATTTTGTTGAAAAACGTTACGAGACTAGTTGAATGGATTCAGATAGAGGAAATTCATTTTTTGAACACTTTCCACGTTTGAACACACCATTTGTCCGTCCATTAATTAAACATTAATTCAATTCAATTTCATTCAATTAAAGAGGCCATCTTACTTATACTATAAGCAATTTTAGGCTTGATTTAAGACATCAGTGGAATATTATTGAGCTTTGCAAATATTGTATAAAATCACATGCAAATTCATTACACCCGTTGTTCACTTGGCACAACCCAGGACGTATGGGTTTTTGGCCTGCCAATGCTTAAAAAAAATTACTAACTCCGATCACATATCAACGACACGGGATACCATAAGGGAATTATATAGAAAAACGAAGGCGCGCGCGAAAAAAATGTTCTAGTGGATTTTTATTGCCTTTTTTTTAAAAAAACGCCGGGAAAACAAGAGAGGTCGACTTGGGGCAAGTCTAGACATTATATTGACCTCAAATTAAAACAAAAATATTAATTGTTCAATTTTTTCCGATTTTTGTGGACGTCTTTTCTTTTTTTTTTTTTTTTAATTAAACACTTACCTTACAAACACTTTTAGCCTTAGGCTGTTGGTAAGCTCCGAAAGCGTTCTTATTTTCAGCTGCAGTGAATGGTTTTTCATTTCGTTCACAATGGTATGAGTGTTTAGATGTTTCCATTTTACTGAGAAATTATTTTCTTGCTCGCTGTCCTGAAAACACCACAAATTTATAAGCATTTAGTGTAGGGGCTATTTAGTTAAGATGCTCTCAAACGACTTCGATAATTGGTAGCTTCWGGGAGGGAGCGAGCGAGAGAGGGCAGGAAGGAAGAGAGGGGGAGAGGCAGTGGAGGAGGCAGGGGAAAAGAAAATGGTAAATGAAGTTATATTTTAGAAGCACTAAAAAAGAAAATTGCAGACTTTTAGAATCGGTTATAAGACTTTGGTTAGGAGCAATCTTACCTTATATTCTACCCACGGAARATCGATTTCTATTTCTTGACTTAAATTCTTGACAGCTTTGACATCACCATGACACGAGGTTAGATCGAGACTTGAAACTTTGCTCTTATGCTGTGTAAGGAAAAAGATAAAAGAATTGGTGACCTTGGATGATTTTGTTTTTCGAAAAGGGCACTTCGGAGGTTGACTGCACATGCATCACATCAAATGGTATACAAGCCGTTGGATTGAATTCTAAAGAGGAATGACCCAATTTAGTCCCCAACTTGCTTTTCTGTTTCATAAACCATGACTTTTCGTCCCTCCCTCCCCTGCCCCCTCCCCCAGGGACTTTTGACTCTTAACCAATCTTCCTCGGCCAATCGACACGGACAGACAGACGGACAGTGACCAAGGGAAATAGAGGGACTGCTCGCAGTCTATCAAATATATTACAATTTGTTACGACAAGTCTGTACTGTAATATTTTCAGTCGCACGACTGGATTTACTTCATGCATACTTACCAGTGATTGGTTATCACTCCAAATGTATGGGCTTTTCTCGTAGACCACCATGATTGTCCCCAGACAAGCAGACGAGTAGGAGTTGCTGTTCATTCCTAGATGTCTTACCATGTTAGATGGCAAAAGAAAGCTGACGTTCTGTAGTTCTACTTTAGACTGTGGTACTGAGAGTGACTTTGATATGAGCACACCAAGGGACGGATGGATAAGTCTCATAGGCTTTTCTCCCAACATTAGATGATTTAATTTGGTCTGTGAAAGTAAGTTATCTATAAAAATCAGAAAAAAAGCAGCACGCAAGTTCACGAGACAAAGCATTGCATTTTCTTGTTCCTGCCAACTGCAAATAAGGCTATGTGTTTTTATCTGAAACATTTTGTAAAAACTCAGTTCCTATCTCATCACCTGAGCACCAGGTAGCGGGTAGCAGAAGGAGCAACAGTAATAAAGAAACACCGCGAGGTGAAGAGGAGAAGGAGGAAGAGGAGGACAGCAACAACACAAGGTACAATAAATCAAATTCATATCAATACAAGTGGCATGGGTTGGAGAAAGCTATAACTCGAACACCCTACCTTAATCACGAGCTGCAGAGCTTGGAAGATCACTTTTTGAGTCAATTTCTGCACTTGCGTCGATTTCGAGTCACTAGAAGTCGAACCAACAAAAAGGACGTGAAATGTTGTGCATCAGACTTAATGCATTGTACTTTCGTTGATATGTCATACGTTTAATCCATACGTAAACTTATGCGCAAATTTACGTAAATAGGTAGATTGTGTTTGATTAGTCCTAGCAAATTTTTATTTAAAGGTGATGTAGCSGTAGTTGTATCCCCTCTCGCTTGTGCTTGGTTCAATTCCTAGACTCGGCATCTTTTTAAAGATAATTTGTTGGTGTCACTGATTTGATTCGAGGTTAAGGGTTGCCCTCCCCCTCTTCCACCAAATCCTGTACACTCAAGTCCCATTTCATTTTATCAGCCCAAAGGTTGCTTCAAAACTGGAAAAAAATGATTTTTGCTGCTTTGAAAGAACAAAAGGTGTGAGTAAAACTGCATTAATCCAGAGTGCAACTCATTTAAACATAGCTTACTTGGCAAACATGTAGGACGAAGCAGATAATAAATTGGAAGACAGCTTTGTTACAAGGTACACTAGTCTTTCGTAGTAATCCACTCTATTTATAGACCTGGCGGTTTTAAGGTGTCGAGCTACTTTGGACAGGATTTCTGATGYAATTTTAAGTCCCTCTACATCAACCTAGAGAGAAAAAGAAARAAAAGACGATGAAATAGCTATTTTTCCTTCATAAGTTCCTATGATGAATATAAGGGGAATATACTGTCCAGATTTTGTACTGATCAAACGGTTTTCAAATTATTGATTAACGAGCAAACATCAGTCCCAACCATAAATTTGATAAATCTGCACGATCTCGACAAAAGAAACCATTGGTCATCATAACCTTCCCAGTTATTCGACCGTTGTATGGAACACTCGATCCAACTATTCAATTCTCTCAGGTCTTAWGGGATTTGATCCCATTTATGATCATGATTTTGTTGCTTAATATTCCAAAATTATCAAGAATATTTAACGTTGTTTATATCAAAATGGTATAATATATATAGAAGCAACAACTATACAATAGGCGGCCCATACCTCATTCTGAACGCTAGTAATGGCTTCAATAGTCTCACCAGTCTGAATTGCTGATGCCTGAAATAATGACGTATGAGTATTTAATACAAAGGTTTCGCAGTCTAATGTGCTACTTTTAAACGATTTTGCAAACAACATCTACACAATGTTTAGGCGTAATGACCAAATAATATCAACACACAAACATAAGACAAAGACAGCAGCAACAACATTACCACAAAAAATAAAAATTAAACGGAATAAGGGAATAAAATAAAAATTAAACGAAGATAACACACAATGACAAAGAGATAGGGAATAAATAACACATCATATGACAACAACGACAATAAAACTACAAAAAAA